AACAACGACCAACCCAACAGCAATGAACATACCTAATATCCAGATTGTGGTATTGAAACATCATTTCCTATTAAAAAAATCTCAGTACTTCTTTTTTTTTTTTTTTTTAAAGATTTTATTTATTTTTTCCCCCCAAAGCCCCAGTGGTTAGTTGTACGTCATAGCTGCACATCCTTCCAGCTGCTGTATGTGGGACCCGGCCTCAGCATGGCGGGAGAAGCGATGCGTCTATGCACGCCCGGGATCCGAACCCGGGCTGCCAGCAGTGGAGCGTGCGCACTTAACCGCTAAGCCACGGGGCCGGCCCCTCAGTACTTCTATTTTTTTCAGGGAAATAGGATTTCTCAGAGAAACAGGATTTCAAAAAGTCTGTGTTCTTCCTATAACAACATTCTATATTGAAAAAGTAGCAGCATCAACAGCATATAAAATATAGTCAGTTTTGTTCATTTTATACACTTTTTTCTAAAATTTTAATCTTAAAAATAGAAATAAATAATAATAATTAACACTGTAGATCATTTTATCATTTATTAAGCGCCTTTGCATACAGTGCCTCATTTGATACTGGCAAAAGCCTTAATACACAGTGCTAAGTGAAGAGCTCGAATCTCAATCCCAGGCTTCTGACCCCTGAGCTTGGGTGCTTTCCTTTCTCTCAGGTACTGAACTCTCCCCTGGTATCTGTTCCAGCTTACTGCCTTATTTGTGGACACAGCTATCTCCTCCATACAGTAAACCCCTTGAGGGCTGCTACCTTTATATTCCTAATACCTGGAGCAGCGATTCGATGTTGAACAAATAAAACTATCTCACATAGATGACACTGACATTAATTTGGAAACTTTGGTCAATGCATATATTGGATTTTGCATAGTCTCTTTTACAACCTAGCAGCCTTGTGAGAGACTAGAATATATATGTCAGCAGCATTTTCCAGTCAATATCCACCCCAACGCAACAGCAACCTTAAACAAACAATAAGAGGAGGTTCAATGAGGACAGTATCTGCCACCTGACAAAAGAAAGTAATCCTATAACCTCAAGTTGCTTTGAGGTGGGGGAAGGCTGTGTAGAATGATTGTAAGTTTAGCTGCAAGACACATTTAAAAGCCACTAACGTAATTAAAATACACTTGCAGCATTTCAAGAAGTGAATCATACAGCAGAGCATTCAATTTGCAATTCAATATTTTTCCCCACTTATTCTGCCAGAGCACAAGCAATTTTCTTTTAAGAGACTCCAATACCGGAGCTTCAGGCCAGAGAGGAAAGAACAGTATATAGCAGAGCAGAGCAGATTCCAATACTTGGGTAAGGAGCAAGGTGAAAGCACAAGAGAATTCAAAGACGCCAAGGTGAAAAAAGGTTTCATCACATGCGACAGTACTCCGTGACTCTCCCTTCCCCAGACCACTGTCACAGACACACTGGATGATACTGTCCTGAAACGGACTTCCACAGTTCACCCACTTTCTCTCTCCTTGTATCCTCCACGTTTACCTATTTTTTCTTTCTTTTTTCCTTCAATCTTTAATTTTGACAAATTTCATAGCTACTGAAAAGTTGAAACGATTATACAATGAAACACCAGTATTCCTTTCACCTGGGTTCACCAATTATTAACATTTTGCCACATTTACTTTATCTGTGTGTGTGTATACATACATTTTTTAAAATTAATTTTTGACTGAACCATTTAAAAATAAGCTGCAGACATTACACTTAGACAGAGTCAAGAGATGAAACTGTTCAAACTCTTTCCAAGATCTGCCCTGATACATCTCACATATAAAACCACAAGCTGGGTATGAATTAAATCAGAGAGAGAAATATGACTAAACTTCTGCAAATATGAACTAATATGTCAAACGTGTATAAGCAACTCCTACCTCACTCCTTTTTTAAGAAATGATGGGATAAACATCATAGCATGAATTGACAGTGCCAACGACATACATATTATGCCCTATGGGGAGCGGGGGAAGGTGCTGAGCAGGAGCTAGATCTGGTTCCACTCGTGTTCCCCTATTTTTAGTTAAGATCTCAAAGAGCCTTAGGCTCCTTATCTGTGAAATGTGACTAATAATACTCAAACTGGACTCTTTGCTGGGTGCTGAGGAGAGAATAAATGGGTGCTAGAGTAAAGAGATGGATAATGAATGGAAGAAAAAGCACAGAGCTCAGTACTATATTAACCCATCAACAAATACAAACGGTTTTAAGGTCTGGTGCCATATAAGCCAATAAATTGATCTAATTTATAAAAACTACTACTTTGTTGGGTTAAATTCACAATCACATATTTCCATATATGCTAAAAGCTAAAGGAAAAAAAAATAGTGGAAGCTTACTGTAATTTCTAAAGATTTCTTTTCAAAAGTACTTCTTCTTTAGTTCCCTTTCAACACCAAAACCTTTAACCATTCATTGTTTTAGAGGATTATTTTGAAATCAACATATCTTAAGACAGAAATAATGGGATAAAAACATTCATTATAGGAAAAAACAGCATAGCACATTCACTTACGCTGTGTTTCACTTTAATTGCTTGGTTTCTTCCCTTACGCAAAAAATATGAGTGCCCACTACATATCAGGCAACGTGCTACACACAAGGTGCATAATTTTCTTCAAGTGCTTGCTTTCGTGCAGTTTACACAGAAACCAAGATATATAATGTTACAGGGTGGCCAGTATGGTAGTTACAGGGTGGCCAATATCGTATTCACCTATATCTAGTTTTTCTCACCTTTTTGGACACACAGAAAACTACTTTCCAGGCCCCTTGAAGGTGGGAGGGGCCACCTAATTAGTTACAACAAATGAGCTGTGAGCAGAAGTGATGTCTGTTCTGGTTTAAGCCAGTAAAAAGTTCTACCTTTTAGCCCTCTCTTCCCCAACTAAGGCCATAAATTGAAATAGTAGGATCTCAAGAGGTCACTAGCCTCCATGGATCTTTTAACCATCACTTGGAACAAGCTGTCCAGCGGAGTCACGGTACCAACAGTAGGCTTTGTCACAAATAAAGAATAAATTTTTATGTCATAACCTACAGAAATGTTAGGATTTTTCATTTACTTGTTTATGTAACTGTTCTATTATCACATCAGAGCCTAGCCTATACTGACTATTACAGCATAAAGGAGTGCCTGACGCAAAACAGAAGCTCAATTATAGAATGAATGAAGGGATGGATGGATGAAGAGTCCATATAAATATAGAACAAAATGGAAGGAAGTATACCACGTTGTTAATAATCTGAATAGGGGAACTTCTGCCAGACTTTATACTCTAATTCTGGCCCTTGCTAGCTGCGCGACCCAGAGCAAGTTACTTTAACTACACTTCATTTCCCTCATCAATAGACTCGGACTGGTAACAATACCTACCTCAAAGGGTTACTGAGAATTAAATGAGCTAATACACATAACAGCACTCAGCAGCTGTCAGCACATAAAAAGTGCTTAATAAATGTTCATGTCTAAATAAGCAAATGTGAGTAACAAGACTGTTAGGCTGTTTTTCTAATATCTGAAAATATTGTTAGTAAAAATGAGACCAAGTTAAATATAATATGCTTTAGATAAATTTGATATTGGAAAGAAATACTAAAATTTCGCTGCAAGAAGTCACTTTCCTCATTTAAGACAAATCATTTTCTCCTCTATATCTTACAAAGGGCTGCTCTGTCTGAGACCTCTTAGCACAGTGTAGCGCCATAACTAATACTTACCGCAGTGACCCTGTCTCCACCATTAGTAACCTGCCTATAATACGGTGATCCTGAAAGAACTCTCCAGGAGGAAAGGCCAGAGCTAGAAGCTTTCGATACGCCTACTTCAGCAGTTTCACATCCACCAACCAGTAAAAGTCTAAAAAAGAGAAAAAAATTAATAAGCTGCAAATATGAACAAAACAACATTAAAACAGAGCAGGAACAGTCACCTTCACAAGGAAAACTGTAATAAAATTACTAAATAGTTACCTAGAAGGTAGATATTTTAGAGGAAACAACCAAAAGAAAAGCAGATGGTTTTTCGACTAGAACTTCCCCTTCACTCATGCAGAGGTAAGGCTTAAACACTCATGCACCAGAAAGGAACTTAGAAATGAGAAAAAACGCTTTAAGTTTGGCCATTGAACATCAAAGAAACTGTTTGTATCCACACCAATAAACTTTAATAAACAGGTGGGTCGCCTCACCCAGATACACAGGTTAATCACAGCAGCGCATCGGATGCAATGAGGGCACAATGACAGTTGTGCGGAAGAAATGACAGCTGGGAATGCTGTGGATGGGACAGAACTGTACGGTAATCACTACACTGAAGGAAGACTATGTAGTAGGATAGCTGCACATTATGACCAGTTCACTTTTCTGTTTGTTCTACTTCACTACCAATTAGAGGTCAGTTACCAACAGGGCAAACAGCCTAACACATGCTGAAAGTTAAAAGACTGCCCAACCGCTATACAGACTAAGCTGATTAATAATGGAACCCAAACAGCCATGATTTTTAAAGTTATGTTCAGCAAATCCAGCAGGAAACTGTATAACAGATATCGTAATCTCTGTCTAAAAAAGAAAAAAGTTTGAAAGTAAAAGTTCTGTTATATTAAAGGGAACACTACAAGTACCAGTGAATTATTTGCTGTTCCCAAGGACAATAAGGCAAAAAGAGTAAGAGAAGAGACAGGCCACAGACTTCTCAATGTCTGCATTTTTTAACAAGTCCCTCCTCCATGCTTTGGAAACTCCCTGCTACCTAAGGGGGAGAAAAAGACTTCAAAACAGAGCTTTCACTGGTCATGTCCACACAATGCTCCCCACACACAATTGACCACTGTCCCAAATGACAGAAAACTACATCAAACTCCCTTTACATCAAGATGTACATTACATCTGTCATCACCAGGCTCCCATTTTGTCAAAAAGAGGATGCACTTCACCACACATATTAGTATTTATCTTTTGCTAGGCCATGCTCATAGAAAAACCAAAAGTTAAAAAAATTTAGGGCCGGCCCAGTGGCTTAGCAGTTAAGTGCGCGTGCTCCGCTACTGGCAGCCCGGGTTCGGATCCCGGGCGCGCACTGATGCACCACTTCTCCGGCCATGCTGAGGCCGCGTCCCACATACAGCAACTAGAAGGATGTGCAACTATGACATACAACTATCTACTGGGGCTTTGGGGAAAAAAAAGAGGAGGATTGGCAGTGGATTTTAGTTCAGAGGCAGTCTTCCTCAGCAAAAAGAAGAGGATTAGCATGGATGTTAGCTCAGGGCTGATCTTCCTCACAAAAAAAAAAAAATTTAGTTTCTGCAAAGAAATTGAAAGGTGAAAGAAAATAACACTTCATAAGGTTCCTTAGAGCTGCATATCAAACGACTGACTCAGTTACATGGTTATGTTAACCAACGTTAACTTTTAAAGTTACATAATTATAAATATAAGGACCTCATGATGTAATACCAGGAGCTCTCAATATTGCCCCTTCAAGACCAGTACAAGTGTATGCTCAAGGGTAGTTAAAAAGAACTGTATTAGTGCAGAAAGCAACACCTGTCCCCTGTTAACTCTGATCGCCTTGTGTGACAGACAGACTAATGTCCTCACAAAAGATGTCCAAGTCCCAATCCCTGGAACCTATGAACATGTTACATTACATGGATTTAAGGTTGCTAATCCACGGACCTTAAAACAGGGAAATTACTCTAGATTAGACAGGTGGCCCAATACAACCACAGGGGTCCTTAAAAGTGGAAGAGGGACACAGAGAGCCAGTGTCAGAGTGATGTGATGTGAGAAAGACTCAACTGGCCACTGCCGGCCTTGAAGGTAGAAGGGGCCAGGAGCCAAGGAAGCTGGGCAGCCTCTAAAAGCTGGAAAAGGCAAGAAAACAGATTCTACCCCCGAGCCTCCGAAGGAACACAGCTCTGCTGACACCTTGATTTTAGCTCAGTGAGACCCATTTTGGACTTCTCACCTCCAGAACTATAAGATAATAAATTTGTTTTAAGCCACTAAGTTTGTGGTAAACTGTTAGACCAGAGAAAACTAACATAGACCTTGTTTCTTTCCCATCCCCAGAACTCAGATGCCCTGTCAGACTCTAATCCCACCAACTGCTCTCTTTTCATCTGACCACTTGCTTTCTAACATCTGTTTCCAAACTAAGCTAACAACAACAACACCACCACCTCATCTTTACCACATACTCTCAAATGTAAAACTTTCAAAACTGTATAAAATCCTTCTAGGTTTAGCCATGGAGCTTAGCCTAACTCAAAATCTCAAAATTCATCAAGTAATGTAACTGCGCTTTATTCATAGAAACACAACATGAGCCTTCACTCAAAGCCTTTATCCCATTGCTTTTAGATGTGGCGCTAACAATTTTACATCACAGTAAACTGGAAGTAACAAATTTTGAGAAGATGGCTTAAAGCAACAACCATTTAGGCTGTTTCTACCCTGGGCTGATCCTCAGAGCTAACACGTAATTCACCCTGTTCACAAGGCAAGAGAGAGTTGGGTCCAAAGTCAAGCTAGTAGTACAAGTATTACTTGCCTAGAGCATCCACTCTGCTCAAATGATTCTTTTACACCAAAATAATTTACCAAAAAGAGGTATATTTGGTACAGATAAAATCATATTATTCCTCTGGATCTAACTACCAATCTGAAGAAACCACAGCTGACAAATGAAAAACACTTTAAACAACACTACAAAGATGCAATCTAAACAATGGGAAATCTAAAAAATCTAGACAGTAGGAAACTATTAAAAAAATGACCTGATTTCTTCCGAATGCACACACATGCGCGTACGCACACACACTCACTCACTCAGAGCAAAAGACCAAAATAAAGAGAGAGAATGGAGAGCAGATTAATGCATTAAAAGAGAAAACAGTCTGGATATGTGATGATATTGACAAATTAGTGTTAATTATCTTCAGATGTGATAACGGTTAAATGTTTTTCTGTTGGTTTGTTGGTTTATTTTTTCTTTTTCGGTGTGGAACACTGGCCCTGAGCTAACATCCATGCCAATCTTCCTCTATTTTGTACGTTGGTCGCCACCTCAGCATGGCTTGATGAGCAGCGTACAGGTCCGTGCCCAGGATCCAAACCCGTGAACCCTGGGCCACCAAAGCGGAGCATGCAAACTTAACAACGACACCACTGGGCCAGGCCCACGTTTATGTTTTTTTAGAGTCCTTATTTTTTAGAAATACACACTGAAATATTTAGATGAAATAGTATGTTGTCCAGGATTTACTTCAAAATAATCCAGGAACAGGTGGGTGGAGGAACGGCTGAGGATACAGAGGAAACGAGATCAGTCATGAGCTGACTGTTAGACAGAATGACAGACACAGGAAGTCAGTATACTATGCTCTCCATGAACACGCTTCAAATCTTCCATGAGGAATTCTTTTTTAAAAGTCAATTTGTTAGGGGGCCGGCCCGGTGGCGCAAGCGGTTAGGTGCGCGCGCTCCACTGCGGTGGCCCAGGGTTCGCTGGTTCGGATCCCGGGCGCGCACCGACGCACCACTTGTCAAGCCATGTGTGGCGGCGTCCCACATAAAGTGGAGGAAGATGGGCACGGATGTTAGCCCAGGGCCAG